GACTGCAAATAGACAAGAAATGAAGGCTTGTAGATTTTCAGATTTATACAGGTGGTCACCACAGTAGGGGGAGATAGACACCCCATTTCAGAGATACACTTGTAACATTACCCCCAACCAAATGGAGATTCTATAAAATCTTAGATGTTGGGCAAACATTTCTATCATCACTACCTCACTATTAGCACTCTGTGTATATCATAGAAACCATCAAAGATATTCCACCCTTCCATGAAATATGCAACATATTCCCCTCCTATCACCATAAAGATACAGACCCATGAACCTACAAACAATTATAATTAGGTCCCAAAACTGTCCATTCAGATTTTTACAATTTTTTACGAAATCTGAGCATTTGATAAAAAACACATTCTAATGGGGCAGCCATGGATCTCCTAAAAGGAGAGACATTTAGTTCAGCAAGTCTGGTAGAAGGTTTAGTAAAGAAATATTCACCTTAGATATTTACACTTAAATCTAATATGTAATAGTCTCTCTATGAACAACATAAAGCAATCCAGGGAGACAGTTATATCACTTAGCTGCTACATTATTTGCCATTTTCCCCAGTGTTTATTCCCACTAATAGCATTTTTATTTTCTTTGGCAGGCTCACCCACCATGCCAAAAACTTTTATGAAACAAGTATCAATTTGATTTTCTTGTATTTGTACAAAATTATATGTCTAGCTATACTAGCTTTATTCCTTGGTATTTCTGCATTTGCAATAGATCTTCTATTTCTCAACAAAGGCCATTATGATACTGGCCCTGGTTGACCAAAGCAGACTCACTCATGCATATCATAGGTCATGTTTTCTTTTGTAAAATAGAGTGGAGCTGAAAGGAGATATGAAGTCGCACATTCAATTCTACAGAATATCATGAAATTGTATAGACTTTATTCATTGATTGGGAAAAGTTATGCTAAACATAATCTTAAGAAGCTCAAATAAGGCTTCACAAACTCATGAAATATTGAATTCTACAGATTGAGTTCTACCTCATTGAATCAGGTTACACCTCATCACATGGGGTTTGACCTCATTGATTAAATTCCACATCATTGGAACTAGTTCCACCTCATTGGATCAAGTTCCACATCATTAGCTTGAGTTTGACCTTTAATTGATCAAGTTCCATCACATTGGATCTTATTTTCATGCTTAACACATCACTTCAGCTAATTTTTTGCATCTAAGAGTCTTTCAAGGTTTCTTGTGAAACCCTGGTAACCACACTTGCTACCATGGTAACCACACGCACCGAGTTTCTGGCATTTTTATACAAAACAATTTTTGTTGATTAGAAGTATTTTTTATGCGTAATTAACATCAACCAAGAAGGTGGCTCCTGGATAGATTAAAACTTTTTTTGTAAATTTAGTAAAAGCTATACCAAGAGCTCAGCATTTTGTAACAAGGTATAAACATACAAATACGTCACCACCTGCCATTTTTTACAGGCACTGACCACCAATTGCCAACTGCCGTATACCAACTGTAAAACATGATCCATAAAAAGTTGGTGGTGACATAAAATTATATATTTATAAACTATATATTTTATAAACAAACAAGTTCAGTATGACAGTATAAAAGTAAACCTTACATCTGTTGGACAACAATTTTAATTAGGTTCCCTTGACAACGCTCAACATCTGAGGAAAACCACATGAAGCAGAGTTTGGCATGCAAGATTTTTTAGATATAGTTTTAATCTGGTGCTGTCAGTCAAATGTGTATATGAAAATTGATCTTTGTGGTTTTATAATATTGAGGTCAGTATGCAGCAGAGCCACAAAAATAAGGCAATCTTCCTTGCATTTATTTACATGGTAAAATTGTATATAGAGGATGTTGGATGAGTTTGGGGAACAGGTAATAGAAAGATTTCTAGAAAACGAGCCTGAGAAGACATAGCTATTTAGGGAATTGATCCCCTTATAATACACAAAATATATTTTTACATGGTTTCCAGCAAGATTTTCAAGAAAGCCACAAGACTCTTAGGGAAATGGGAAATAGCTGTTTTCTCAAAGGATTATCCTAATATGATGGATTATTAGATGCCTTGCCCCTCAAGTGAATTACTGCTCAATACAGCCATGAATCAATGCGATTGAACTATCACAACAAAGCTGAAACAAAATGTGTCAATTTATTAGAGCCCTGTTATGACTTAGAGTCACTGATGTGAAAGAGCACTGCATGCGCCAGTGTAATATACCCTGACTTTTCGGATGCTCAACCATATTCATGACACACATCAAATTAACTAATGTTTTCATGACAGACTGAATAAAGACAACTGGGGATTTCTTTGTTGTTGGTCACTGTGTGGACGGCTGTAATTAATTACTATACAGTTGCCAATGATCCCAGTGACCTTTCTAACCAGTCTCAAATTTCTCTCTTTTAAAATCAATCATAGTTTTACTCACAAACTCAAGGGGGGGGGGGGTGCATGAGGTAAATCCTTATTCCTCCACATCTTAGATTACCAAGGTATGAAGTTTGAAAATCAAACTAATATGGGAGTATGATGCCCCCCCCCCCCCCCCCCCCCCCCCCCCCCCCCCTAGAAAAAGCATTTAGAGAGAATTTTGTACATCTGAAAAATATTTGATGCAGCAGTGAGAGATGATATTTGCAGCTGAAAGAATATTATCTTGAAGAAATCTCAAAGTTGCTATCATCTTTCCCAGATTCCCTGCATCACAGAGACATGGAGATAATCTGGGCCAAACACCACCTGTTCAAACTTAACTGCAAATGAATTCTGTCCCAACTAAATTATATTACATTTTATGTATTATCATCCCATATGACATTCATCACTCAGATTTATGATGTTTGGATTTATTTGAGTTGATATGGTTTATTGGGGTCAGCTAATGTTAATAAACTGAATTTTGGCAACAACCAAATTGGGATCTAAATGTTGTCTTATTGGTTGGAATCATCCAGGGAGGACCACCTTTGACATGCATATTTCACACAATTTCTATCTAAATTCTCAGTGAACAGTCACAATTTCTTACATATTTGTACAATTTAGAATATTGTCTTCATGATCAGCCACTTTATTTCTCATTAATTCCATCCTTTTCCACTATATTTCATATTTCAAAACATGACCCTTCATGACATTTTATACCCAGGATTTGTGGTCAAACATATGGTCAAGGTATGCTAAATAATTGCACCAATGGCAACTGTCAAGTGTCGGCTTACATTAATCTTTCTAATGGAAATAGTTCCAATGTCTCTGGGTTATTATTTCTCAATACAATATCAAAGAGATGTAACAGTACAGAAACCAAGTTGCCATATTTGAAGGATAAGTTCCCATCGCTCCACAAATAATGTTTTGGAAGGGATAACATGTCCAACACAGATGTCAATGGCAAATCTAGGGTATTGATTTCAGACAGAAATCATGTTGCATTTTAATTCACTATTTAGAATTTTTAGATAAATTTCAGTTTTACACTTCTTTGATAAATAATAATTAGGGTTGGTCAGTTGTGAAGTTCAACTTCAGTGAAATATTTTTTAACAGTGCAGTGTGATATGGTAGATTTGTTATCTGTATGGTTGCTTGGATAAGGCAGCCTCCCTTTATCAGATTGCTGACCTCAAACTCTCAATTTGCACACTACTACATTGAGCTCCTATCAGTTATTGTAGGCCTATCTGGTGGATATATCTTGATGGGGTGGTTTGGAATGCTTTGGAGTTGTTTTAGGAGAAACTGAGATAACACCTTTGTTGTTTACCATTGAACTATTCTGTAGAAGTTGAGAAAACATGGGCAGAAATCTCACAAGAACATGTAGGAATGTAATGAATCTTGGAAAGGGACACCATGTTGGGGTAAAAGATTCTACCAGGAAGACTAGATGCATGAGGACAGGCTGGGTACCATACCAAGGAATTTGACCCCAAGGTTTTTTCTTCTACTCTTATTCACATTGTGGTTGATCAGACTGGCCTTCTTTATATAAAGCTTAAAAGAGTTAGTTCTTTTCCATGGTCACGAGAGGCTTTTGAACTAATTAAGCTCTTTCTACATTATTTTACTTTTTTAGAACATAATCGCTAAGTAAAATAGTAAATGCGCTCATGCTAAAGGAATATCCAAACATCATTTTGAAACTCTAAACAAAAGACAGGACAATGAAAAATTGCCATTATTACACCACCCGTCCCCTCATGGCGAATCATCAGTGACAGTTATCATATGACTTTAAATGGACCAACATTCTCAATAGTTGCATTAACTTTACTTTAAAAGACACCTTCATCTGTAGTATTTACTGCTAACCCGAGGATAGACAAACACAACAACTCTAACAGGATATCTGGCATGCCCGGAGGATGTTCTTTACTATAGAACCCTGTATTAGAGATATAAGAAGGGATTTCCTCAAGAGATTAGTGTCTTACAGGTGACACTAGAGGAACAATCATAATATGCTATGGATTATTCCTAATCAGGTTCTGAATAAATAATAACAGAGACACTGGCCAGCATGACTGTTTCATTACATCATGTCCCTATGTAACCCCCCACCCACCCTCTCAATCTCTGAAATGAGTCTATGGATCAATAAATGACAGGGAGGGAGTACAAGAACAATGTGCACACTCTCTTTTTTAAAAGCCTAACAGGAGGAAAGGATATGTCATCATGAAAACATACTCTATTCATTAGAGAGCTGATTAACAGACACTACAAGCTTCTCTCTCTCTCTTTATAGCAGACCTCAGGTCAATTTGTGGTCAGCAATAATGCCTGTGCTACCCTGCTTCTACATGATCTACCTATACTTCCCTCTAAATATTACAGACGATTTTGAAGACCGAATGATAACAGCCTGTGCTACCCTATTTCTCCATCTCAAATTACAGATGATTCAAAAGCCCCGATGACAACAATGATATTGTAACTATGACAACACCAATCCTGTAACTATGAAAACATTGACTCACCTCTAGAATGTGTTCTTTTTGGTTCTCTCTGTCTAGCTTTCTCTTGGTAGTGGTTATCAAACCTGAAAATACAAAATGGAAAAATTAAAAAACAATCCTCGCTTACAATCATCATTTACTATTTACTATTTACAGCATGATACATGGTAGTCACTGAGGATTGGTTCTATTTGATGAGAATTTTTTTTGTTGTTGAATTTTTTTCACATATTAAATTGATTCCATGTGAAGTATATATTTAGATAGCTCTTTTTGTTATGTCCAATTGCAGATGTAATGCTTGTTTGTATGTGTTACAAGTAAACATATATGTCTGTTTTCTGTTATGGGTATTTATGTCTGTTTCCTGTTATATGTATTGGGGAGGGTGTATGTTCAATGTCAAACGAAGGAAAAAGTCAAAAACCAAACAATACCCTGATTTTCATGTTTTCCCTATTTTCTAACTGGTTTAAATGGTATTTCTAGTTGGGTAAAGTTGGTATTTTCTAGTGTGGTAAAGTTGGTATTTACTAGTTGGCACAAAAAGATTTTAAAAGCGCAATATAAGTTTCAATTCTCTAATCAGAGCAAAGACTGGTTAATTCACGACTGGAGAGATGAGACCACCAGCAATATATATAAATAAATAAATAAATGATATCACATTTACATCAAAGCTATTTACTCTTTTTAATCCTGTATAATCTTGGGATTTCACTATAAAAACATGGACATAAATGGAGGTAATATTTAATAAGTAGACCACTAACTGACAAGTGTGGATAATCCACATAGGAATTTGGCAAAATGTGACCATTACCCAAAAGTTGGTAAACATTAATAACCAAGAAATGAACAATTGGCGTGTAATAGGTGAAATGAGTGCAATTTTGTTAAAGAACAGTTTTAATCTGTATTAAGTCAAATCAGTGCAGTTTTGTTAAACAGTTAAGCTGTATTATCCAAGTTTAGTACACCACAATATCTTAAATACTACAATATTATGAGTAAATATTGAATGACTTAGTGATTTGAGACGATTGCTACACTTTAAGAAGAATTACTCATTGAGAAGGTGATCAGGGGTGGGGTAAATGTTAATAACAAAGTTAAAGACCTCTGCATTTACAAATTGTTTGTTTCTGTAGCAGATAAGAATGGGTTAAACCCCCTTAACAATGCAACAATATGTGATAATATTATAGAATGGAAATAAATATAATGGTTAACACTGATTGCAATTTGGAATAAATCGTTTAAACTCAATGCACTAGAAAATCTGTGAAATTTAACAATTATTAACAGTGAAATATTAAACCCAATGACATATCTGAAGTAGATTTTTTAAAATGATTGATAAATATTGACGAAACTATTTCCATAATTTATAAATCAGTTATTTTATCTACTCAGTATCAAACACAGCCCCATAAAATGCCACAATTAGAGGTAGTCATTCATTTATTATTATGGGCCAATGACCTATATCCTATAAGGGTCAGGTTTTCTTGGGGCTGGGCCTCAGACTGTAGCAATACGATGTATTATTTGAAGTTGTTTATCTGCTGTATCATAAACTAGAAGGATGTAAGAACTTGACCACAGAAGTGTTTAATAACTCCTGACCAATACATGGCCCCAGAATTATCACAATTTAGATTGATTGTTTACTAAATTGACTTAATTGGCATCAGATACCGTACTAATTGACAATATAAGACATTCCTATCAATGCTAAATTATAAAAAAAAAATAATGTCCTCACTCCGGAAATATCACAATTCAATCGAAAACTAGATAATGGTATGTTATAGTTAAATCTTGCATCTTTTTGTTATCTCTTTTTGTCAAGGATTTGTGTGTAAACACGTCATATCAACAATGTCTGATGATAGGACACCAAAACAAGCACTTAACCCTTTGATAACCTGCTTGCTGACCATTGACAGGTAGTGATATCCAGGCAGGAAGTAAGGAAGGGGGGGGGGGGGGGGTAGGGAGGTGGGACAACCATAGTAAAGCCAATAATCCAGAGAACAATTAACTTTTTAATGAATGTAAAATTTAATAATTTCTGCTCTAATACAACTGTATATTTGGATTTTTGAAGTGGCTATAGGTTAAAAGTCTAAAGGAAATGTCAATTTTTGTGTGGTTAGCAAACACGAACTTCAAATGTTTTTATATAGGTACAAAAACAAAGACTCCACAACGCAGGAATGTGACATTAACACAGATCTCCTCTACGTCCACTCACTCTTTCAATTAGCATTCAAATGTAAGAAATCTTATGTTTTAATAAAGTTGATTTAATTTTGCAAGAATTTCATTTTTCAAACAATTAAAAAACGATTTATAAAAAAAATCTACAAAATTTAATTTTGTTATTTTAAACATAAAAACAACTATGTAATTAGGGTAATCATAGTAAATATAAAATAAAATGAAATCCTCTGTTAAGATCTCCAGACCTGATGTTAATAAAAAGAGGATGGAGTAGAAGGGATCCTAAATATAGTGCCACAATCACAATGTACTCCCCTCCCCCCCATTGATATAAACGAAGGGTGAATGTGACATCATATCACTTTGGGCTCCATACTGTCTTAGTCTAGCAACAACCCCTTGTGACCCTCCCCCTACAAACCTACCCACATGTTGTGTTGATGAAATAGATAATGGAGGGGGGGGGAGACTCATAGTCTTGCTTAGATAAAGAAGGAATCTAATAAATCAAAATGACATCATAGTTTATGTGTTGTATTACATATATGTCTTGTTACTAAGCCAAAATAACTAACATTATCAGTCATATACAATATAGATTCTTAAACTCAATCAATTAAAAAAACAGTCGCAAGATTTATGACTCCGAATGACATCAAGCTAAAAGAACATAAAGTGGTCTACATCATTATTGAAGGGTTCTTGAAAGTAATTTGCCTCTAATCATGGCAGTTAATGTCTGATAACAATGATATGTGAATTGGCAGATATGTTTTACTATGCGCCTATTTCAACATATGTCTCGTGATTTGAAGGAATTCTGAGTTTCTAGCTATTCAAATTTGAGTACTGTGGACAAGTCAAGTTCTTTGGAGTAACCAGCGACAAGATAGCACTGCCCAGGGAGTAAGGCTCCAAACTTCTTTTAACTTCCAAATATCTTTAAGCTTATTTCAAAAATTTCACAAAAAATCTGATTAAAATATCTGATTTTCCTACATTTCCATATAATTCAGAGTGTCAACTGCATGCCTATTTACTTTAATCCTAGCTACATCGACCCTTTGCATCCCATTTTGCAATTTGAAGCATGTATGAATTTATTGACAGGTAAGGTCTACCTGCGTGTAGCTAAGTGATCCAAGTGCCTATAAATCTACTGGATTATCAATGATAATTGATGAAAGTGTAAACACCCAAAATTCCAATCACCTTTAAGCCAGCACCTATTACTCCTAGTTTTCTACATGATATATCACTGAGATGTTGCACACCAGGGTGGTACTGAGGTACAGCATACGTGCAGAGTGGGTTGAAGTAAATGCAAAGAGATTGGTATGAATGCAAAAAGTAGCTAGCAAATGAACACAAAAAGGTTTATAAATGCAAATAAGTCACAAATAAAGGGGTGAGATATAAATACAGAGAGATGGGTATAAATGCAAAGAAGTGGCATATAAATATAAAGGGGTATGGCATAAATGCAGAGATAGTGTATACATGCAAAGAATTAGCATATAAATGCAAAGGAGTATGGCATAAATGCAAAGAGAGAGTGTAAAATGTGAAGGGAAAAATGGGTATAGAGATGAAAGACAAAAACTATCACAATTGATTGCAAACTACAAGACACAAGCCTTGAAGTCAGAACATTCTAACCCTCATTTTATGACACTAACCAGGCAGGGAATTACACTTTTCCTATAGGAACTCAATAAAGAAAATCAATAAAACACAGCCTGGTCAAGTAAAACAACTTAATAATGAAACTCCCTAGATCTCCAACGACAAAATGATATTAAAACAAGATGACGGTAATTTTACAGTGAGGTTGACCATAATTTGACACAAATCCATTTCCGATTCTATATGCCCATATTTGGGTTGTTAATAGATGCAGAATCGCCCTAGGGAAATATGGGGAGGTTGGAACAACAAAGATGTATATAAATACTGGTGTTTTTCATGTATTAAGTCCCTGGATTATTAAATCAATTGGTGTTAAATACAATATGTGTATCATTATTACATTTCTCCTGTATATTTTTTATGATATACCACATAGCATGCAACTCTCTATTTTTCAATAGACTGCAGGCAATGTGTATGTTCAAGTAAACGTCAAAGAAATGTTTCTTTTTTAATGTATGACCTAAAAATAACATTTTCAAAATAGAAATCTAAAAGCTATAATTTCATTTTAATGGGGATATATATTATTTCAACCATTTTTGTTCTATTATGAGTCTTCCTTAACGTCTCTTTTCAGAATCCACTTAAAAAATGAATAAGGCTGAATTTGTTTTTTGGTCATCAGCTGCGATAAATACCACCTATAAGTCTTTGGAAGTATAAAGGACAACATTTGTATCTAAAAGGTTCAACTAAAAATCACTTGCACTTTAGAGTGCATTTGCCTAAATCGAGAGAGGTGACAGATATTGCTTTTAGCAATGGTCAAAATACATGTCTAGGTCGTGCACTCATATTTATCAAAGTCGTCTCATAGGAAATATTTTGTTTTATCGAGTTTATTCCATAGAGGGTTTCGCTATGTTTCATGGAATGCGAATCGATTATATTGTAAAAAATGCAGTAATTTCACAGTTCTTCGTTTTATTCTGTACTCTTCAAAAGTGAAAAAGTGACCACTTTATTGTTTTTGTAATGGGAGGCCTGAATATGTATCTCTACTGAACCTCTAGCTAAGAGCTTTTATGATGAATGCCTGACAACATGGACCAGTGTCAGCAATAATGTGACATGAAGGACCCTTGAACATAAAACCAACTGACCATTATCGGCACTTTGATTATGATATAAAAAGGGCAAACTTTACCACATTTCCTCTTTA